GGTCTAGGTATCATCTCATGTTACCAGTAGTGACACTGACCCTAACCAAATGCAAAACTAGTGAAAAACAGTCAGAAAAGATGAGTAGGGAAAAAAAATGTCAGTGGCCTCCACCTGTAAAACTTCCTGTTTTGGGGGTCGTCTCACTGTTGCCCATCTAGTGCACCTGTTGTTAATTTCATTAACACCAAAGTAGCTGAAACTGATTAACAACCCCCTCTGCTACTTAACTGACCAGATCAATATCCCAGGACTTTATGCTATACTCTGATTAAAAAGTGTTTCTTTAATTTTTTTGAGCAGTATATATATATATATATATATATATATATTATATACATATACATATAAACTTCCTGAATGTCCAGCATACCAGCACACAATATTTAATAATGCTGTTTATATCAGTTCATAAAAATGGGCCTTAGGTGTTGAAAATATATTGATCACTCTCTTTTATTTTTCTTCACAGCAATAGAAAATTGGATGGTATCCACTTTGAGCCTAAAGGGAAAATCAAGCTATGGGGAGGTTGTAAAGTGTTAGATTACATAGGAATCATGTGCCAGTCAAGATTTCATTAGGACCTGTGTACATGGTCTGTCAGTGTTTTTAAAGCTTGGAGAACATTTGTAAAGCAAGGCAAACACATTAATTTGCTTTCTAAAGTGTGGGTCAAACCTATTCACCAGATGCAAATGTTATTGCCATGGCAAACACCAGCTAACAATAACTGGTCTTGGCTTAATTCCTGGCAGAAAAAAAAAACTTCCTGCGGCTTTGTTGGTGCTTTGTTTACCTGCATTTCCTTGGCATTGGTCATCATCTGAGCAGGTTTGTAACCCTCCCCACTTGATCCACCCCACTTTATAAAAAAAAAAAAAAACGTTATTCCCTACCTGCCTTGACTTTTAAAACCAAATTGTAAATGGTTGCATAGCTCTTTTATGGAATTGGACTACTGGAAAAAATGCTTAAGTTTAATACATTTCAAAACAGCCGAATGAGATATTAAGGCACAATATGGTCAAAACAAAAAATTATACCTTGAAATGCATACAGAGTTTAAAGCGTACCTGCTTACAGTATATCTTTATTTTCTCAAGCTGGCATATTGTAACTGTAGTGCAGCATCCCATCCCACTCCAGTCAATTCTAACTTTGAGAAACAAAAGAAAAAATCTGTTGCACTGTCACTTGAGTATAAAGTATCACAATAATGACATCCCAGTGCAAATAAACTATATATATATATATATATATATATATATATATATATATATATATATATATATGTAGTGAATAAATTGTTAAACATCAGTTATGAAAAAATCCTATATGTAAACACACAGAACATCTCCATCAATAGATAAGTTCAAAGACATAAAAACAGACTAAAGAGTAGATCTTTAGTGTCAAGCTTCAGTGTACCACCACCAAGAGCACACAGTAGCAGCTTACCTGGGAAAATTCAGACCCCAAACAATAGGAGGTCTAATACAGCATATTAGCACAGAGGCACTCCAGGGGTAGTATGCATTGTAGCTCCTATGCCCCTGGACATCATCTGTTGTGACCAAACACATCGGGCGGAGCTTAGTAGAGAACTCATCATGTCTGCTCGATCAAGAGACAGCATTTTGTTTTGCTGATGTGCTGTTTATTTTACATCTAGACGTGAGTACCACTCTTTTATAATTAAATGATATATTTTACCTGCTACACTATGAAGTTCCTCTGCTTTATTTCCCATGCTGGTTACTATCTGGCCTGATTTCTTTGGAGTTGCGGAAAACTGAGATACAGTGCATACTACCAATGGGGTACCTTGGTGCCAATATGCTTTATTAGACCTCATATTGTTTGAGGCCTGAATTTCTGGAAAGATAATTATTTTGTATAATTGATGCTTAACAGTTTTTTTCACATGGTGTTTTATTTTATTTTTTTCAGGTACTTATATAGTGTCATCAATTTACGCAGCGCTTTACATATATATTGTACATTCACATCAGTCCCTAACCCTCAAGGGGCGTACAATCTAAAGTCCCTAACTTACATTCATACATACGCATACTAGGGCCAATTTAGACAGGTTCCAATTAACCTACCAACATGTCTTTGGAGTGTGGGAGGAAACCCACACAGACACAGGGAAAACATGCAAACTCCAGGCAGGTGGTGCTATGGCTTGGATTCGAACCAATGACCCTAGTACTCCCAGGTGTAAGTACTAACCATTTAGCCACTGTGCTGCCCATGATGTTTTTTTGCACTGAGATTTCATTATTAGCACACTGTATTTTTGAGTGACAGTGCAACACATTTTTTTTCTTTTGTTTCTTGAGGTATTGCAGTATGCCATTGAGTGCTGCTGTCTTTTGTTGCATTGCTTTCTATTTTTGTTTTATTGTTGACACCTATTATCTAATTTATTTAGCACTTAGCACAGGCTACTTTAGTTTAAATCAGTATTCTGAAAACCGCTGTTAATGATGCATAAAAATCTATCCTGAGACACACCCATCTTCTTCTTTAATTTCTCCCACTAGAAAGCCTTATGTCTACCTTTATATCTGAAGGCACAATTCTACAAAGAACAATCTGTTGGAGCAGCAACTATTATTTGTCCCTTTCTCTTGTAGCACTTACTCTCGAAGGAACCCCTTGATGTGTTGAGTTCCTTGTTCCTGTGCCCATATTCTGTGAACAACGTCAAACACTCTGACACACCTGGCTGGCTGGGGAAGGGTAATTTGATAGCTGCATATACACCCCAATGGCTCAAAGTGCATAGACACAGCAACTGGTTAAGTTAAAGCTGAAGTACATTGAAACAGGGTAAACAAAAGGAGGAATATACTGCAATTAATCAGCAGGAAGAAAATTATACTGTAACTGTTAATCTTTAAGAGATATAAAACAAGATAAAGTGCGGCGCTAATATCATAGAAATAGTCTATAGATGAATCAACATAAAATGAACATAGACATCAATTGCTGATGAAAGTTCATAAGGTGAGTAAAGTGCTCAGAAAATCATGCGTCTTCCTGGGCCCGATGGACATGCATAAAAGTGTATAAGCAATGCGCACTCACCAGAAAGCGCATATAAATGCGCAATAGTAATGATTTGATGTCATCATGGGATGATAGCAGGAGTCCTAAGCCTTTCATCTATGGGTGGATGGATTCTGAGGAATGGATTCGTCAATATCAGGATCTTCCAGAGTTCCCTTTTATGGGATAGGTGGGTGCAGTTCTCTGAGTCTAGTAGAGGCTCCCTCTCTGGATATTAGGATCGCTGTGAATTAAAAAACTCCTCGGGGGAGTCAAAGCAAAAAGATGCCCATAGTGTAGTAAGTTGGTAAACATTTATTTGCACAAAATCCAGGTAAAATGAACAGCAGGGCATATAAAACCATGTGGACTAACCGTCCAGAGTTAAAAGATGGCCGCCAGAGCTCCTCGTTGCTCTGGCAGCGTGACGTCAACGGAGGGGAGTGACACTCCCCTCAGACGACGTGTTGGTGCACGAAACGCGCACAGTAACACCGTTGACGTCACGCCGCCAGAGCAATGAGGAGCTCTGGCGGCCATCTTTTAACTCTGGATGGTTAGTCCACATGGTTTTATATGCCCTGCTGTTCATTTTACCTGGATTTTGTGCAAATAAATGTTTACCAAATTACTACACTATGGACATCCTTTTGCTTTGACTCCCCCGAGGAGTTTTTTAATTTCACAGCGATCCTAATATCCAGAGAGGGAGCCTCCACTAGACACAGAGGACTGCACCCACCTATCCCATAAAAGGGAACTCTGGAAGATCCCGATATTGACAAATCCATTCCTCAGAATCCATCCACCCATAGATGAAAGGCTTAGGATTCCTGCTATCATCCATGATGACCATTAGATGACATCAAATCATTACTAATGCGCATTTATATGCGCATTCTGGTGAGTGCGCATTGCTTATACACTTATATGCACGTCCACCGGGCCCAGTTAGACGCATGATTTTCTGAGCACTTTACTCACCTTATGAACTTTCATCAGCAATTGATGTCTATGTCCATTTTATGTTGATTCATCTGTAGACTATTTCTATGATATTAGCGCCGCACTTTATCTTGTTTTATTTATTGGAGGCTTTGCTTGGTTACCCTGTGCTTGGCTGCTTTTTTTATTCATTTTTTCCATCACTCATTATCTTGTTTAGTACCTTTAGGCACTCACATTTACCCATATTTCCTTTAAGAGAGATATATTCTAAAGATTAAACAGTAAGATAAATGTACTCTCAATAATTATGCAATAGGAGCAATATGCTACAGAAACAATATTTGTCATATAGTACAACCCCTCCTAAGGCATGTACGGGGCAACCCTAAGAAACAGGGAGATATAAATATGTGTATATACCACAATAACAGTTCAGCAGTCCGTAATATGCTACCATTTTTCTTCTGTTAGCCAGCTCATTGAGGCCCAACTGTAATGATGCTGTACTCAACGTAGAACTGATGCAATCACTGTCACTGTAGTTCTTGCAGGCAACTGTTTCGCTTTAAACACTTCAATAGGAAACACTTTCATCTCCTTCCTGCCCTGGTCAAGTTGTAGATTTCATCTTTGTCATACTTTGAATGCCAATTACTCAGTTATGCGACACTGTACCCAAATAAAATTTTTATCATTTTTTGAGACACATAGAACTTTCTTTTGTGATATTTAACCGCCTTCCACCCGCCATATTAGGTAATGACGGGCGCAAGTCGGTTCTCTCGTTCTGTTCTGGGAGGACGTCATAGGACATCCTCCCACTCTAACTGTGCATGCGCGGCTCTCCGGGAGCGCGCAGCACGGCGATCGGTGGTGCGCTGTGTCCCTCGGACACAGCGGATCACCGATCAACGGAAAGAGACGAAAATGTCGGCTTGGTCATGTGATCAGCTGTGTCCAATCACAGCTGATCGCATGTAAATAGGGAAATGCTGGTTATCAGCATTTCTCTCCTCACGAGCTGTCACGCTGACAGCTCGAGAGGAGAGGAGAGCCAGTAATTGACATTCCTCGGAGGGGACATGTACACTGATCACCAGGGCACTGATCATCAGTGTGCCCTGATGATCAGTGTAGCCCCAGCAATGCCACCTGTCAGTGCCCATCAATGCCAGCTGTCAGTGCTCATCAGTGCCACCTGCCAGTGCCCATCAGTGCCTCATCAATGTCACATAGTGCCTACCAGTGCACATCAATGCCACATATCAGTGCCCATCTGAGCTGCCTTTCAGTGTCACCTATCAGTGCCAGTCAGTGCCACCTATCATTGCCAGTCAGTGCCACCTATCAGTGCCAGTCAGTGCCACCTATCAGTGCGCATCAATGCCGCCTATCAGTGCCTGTCAGTGCTGTCTATCAATGCTGCCTAACAGTGCCAGTCAGTGCCGCCTATCAGTGCCCATCAGTGATGCCTGTCAATGCCCATCAGTGCCACCTACTAGTGCCTCCTCATCACTGCAACCTCATTAGCGCACATCAGTGAAGGAGAAAAATCATTTATTTACAAAATTTTATAACAAGTTTTATAACAAAAACTAAGAAAAAACATTCTTTTTTCAAAATTATTTTCTGTTTTTTCAGTTGTTTTTGGTTTGTTTAGCAAAAGAAAGCTCTATCTGTCTCAAAAAAATGATAAAAATGTCATATATAGGTACAGTGTTGCATGGCTGCGCAATTGTCAAAGTGCGACAGCACTGAAAGCTGAAAACTGCCTGGGCAGGAAGGGGGAATAAGTGCCCTGTAGGCAAGTGGTTAATCACCATGGGATTTTTTTTTTTTTTTTGTTTCTTTTTTTTTTTTTAATTTTCTGCTATATAAACAAAAAATACCAAAACATTTGAAAAAAGCATTTATTAGTTTTTGTTATTCTGTAAAATTTAGCAAAAAAATTATTTATTTATAAATTTAGGCCAAAATGTATTTTGCTACATTTCTTTGGTAAAAATAACCAAAAGTATTGTATACTTTTTACTCTGTTTGAAAGTTATAGTCTACAAAGTATGGTTTATATATATGAAAACTGATTAGTCCTAATGATCTGTCTCATTTCTTGAGGCCCTGAAATGCAAGGATGGTACAAATACTCTCAAAATAACCCCTTTTTGGAAAGTAGATACCACAAGGTATTTAGTAAGAGGCATAGTCAGTTTTTCGAAGTTGTCATTTTTTTTGTAACAATATTGTGGGAAAATTAAGGAAGTAAATACAATTTTTTTTACATACGGGGACAAGTCACAAAGCGGTATTTTACCGCATCCAAGTATGTTGGCATTCACTAAAAAAAGCTACTAAAATACAGCATCATTTACAGTTATTTTATTAACAAATCAGCTTGTCCCCATATTGATGGGGACAAGGGCCTCTTAACCACAACCATGGCTGGTGTTTGTGGAGGTTTGCGGGTGAGGGGCTTGTCAAAATCTGAAATCTCCTTTAACAGGGGGGCCCCCAGATCCCGGCCCCCCTCATGTGAATGAGTATGGGGTACATGGTCCCCTCATTCACCCAAAAAAAGTGTAGTGTAAAAATACACAGGAAGCAGTTTTTGACAAGTCTTTTACTAAAAAAAACAAAAAAAATTAAAACATGTCCCCTGGTGTAGATCCAAAGTCAATCACGATGCCTGCTGCCACCGCGACCCGAAAAAAAATAAAAAGCTCTGCTCCCGATGGAGGCTCTCGCCATCTGACAGTTCTTAAATAACTAAAGGGCTGGGCTATTCGCTGATGTCAGTAGGTGACCACACTCTGTGTGACATCATCAAAAGGGAGCATGCTGGGTCGATGATGTCGCAAGGGGGCAGGGTCACCCAGCGACATTGGGTGGCCTCGCTCTTAGCTAGTTAAGAACAGTCAGGTGGAAGAGCTGTTAGACAGTGGGAGACTTTTTTTTTTCTTTTTTCGGGTGCATCGGGCATGTAGCGGGCATCAGGATTGACGATAGATTTACCCCAGGGGACATTTTTGTTTTTTTAATAAAGGAATTGTCAAAAACTGCCTTCTGGTTAAGCCAGGTGTAATGCAGGGTTGGCCAGAGGTCTCTCACCACTCTGTGTCAACAGGGGATCTCCTTCTGTTCACTGGCAAAGTGTATCCTGGTCAGTGTTATCAGCATCTGGCTCCACAATCAAAGAGCAGGCTTGAACAGGGCATTAAGGGCATCCTCTGATGCTCTGGAATGGTTGATAGTGTGTGTGTGTGTGTGTGTGTGTGTGTGTGTCTCTCTCTCTCTCTCTCTCTCTCTCTCACCAGGTGTAGGAGTCCACTCGCATTCTCAGTCTCTTCATCAGTCTCCATCTTTTCTCCTCCATATGGGAACACAATTACAACCCTTTTCTTGTCATTGCTGCAGACTAGGCTATGCTCCCCATCAGCTGAATCAAAAGCATACATATTTATGAAGCAGCCAGTAGACTGACAAGCTTGAGGATACTTGTATTGTGCCTGGACTTTGGACTGCACTCTCTTGTCAGTGGCTTGCCATCCTTAACTGTGAAAAAAAGCAAACATTGCATGGCTGCTTTTACATTCTTTATCATTGTCCTTTCTTGGATCTATTTCTGTGGATGTCAGACCAATACGTATAGGCAATATTTTGTAGCTGCCTGTCACACCAACTCATGTTTTCACAATGTGAGCACTAGATTTATTCTGCATATATGCATGTATCAATACAGACATCTTCATAAGTAGTTTCTGTTATTATTAAGCAACTTAATAAATGCAGTGAAAACAAAGTAGTCATATGGCAAAAAAATGTGATTATTTCAAAAAATTTAAGCAAACATTCTTTTTAATTGCATACAGAACCTCACCATTAGCTGTTCTGGATTGTCTATTAAGATGCATTATTCACAACATTAGTCTTAAAATAACATTTCACTGTTGTCAGGGGACTGCATAGTCAATATTACAGTGTACTGTGTTTGTGTATCATTTACATACTTTATCCTTTAGGAAAGTCATAGTCATTCAGCAAAGATCTTGCTGTTGTTTAGCTACAAGGACAAAATTAACTTGCAGCATAATCACCAGCTTAATAGCTTGTGTCACTAAATTACTGCAAAATATTTTCTTATTGAAACAAAAACTACTAAATCTATTTATTATCTATACAGTACAGCTTACATATCTGTCACGCACTGTTAAATGGATTTGACAGCACAGATTAAGATGCTTGGAAAAGTCAGTATTGGGGCCTGGTATGCATAAGCAACGACAAGTAAACTACAATAAAAAATGGCCATTTGTAAGTAATATTCATGATCTAACTGCATAGCACATCTCAATACTTGCCTGTGTGCTTTTGTTTGCATTTACTGCACAGGGAAGCTCATAGGTTTTCTGCTTTTCACATTTAAGTAAAAAAACTTATCTATTTACAATGTAGTTAGGGTGGCTTGAAATCATATCTCTGGTATTCCTGTTGCAGGCATTTTACAACGCAACCTTTTTTAACCTTTTTGTGCCCAGACGTCATTGGAAGCCTCAATGACCAGCCCAAATATAGTTGGCCTATAGTTATCGATTAACTTAATTATCAATTTAAAATAAAAACGCATTGGTACATATGAATAACATTTGGTATACCATTTTATTAAAAATCCTAATTTTTTTTTAACAGGCTGACAAGTGGAAAAAAATATAATTTATTAATTTTTAATACTATAAATGTAACATGCAATTACAGTGCTAAATAGATGAATACTACAATTGACAGACTGCAGTAATTTCTGAAAACCAAAGCCGTTTTTTCTCTTGAAAACTTCAGTTTGCATATGATCACTATATCATAGCTGACAAGTGATCACATGATCAGGAACCACTCACATGATTAGGAAAATACCACTTGAATCTGCAAATGTTGGTGGGAACAGAAGCTGTGAGGAATAATTAGGTTTATGAGCAGCCTTGCTGGTAGTTATTAATAGAAGGATATTTATTACCATATCCTTAGAATGGGGCAATGTGCTGAGGAACGTTAACTCACAACGACTGTAGGCAGCAATGCGCTAAGGTACATATTTATAAAGTATTTGCTTTACAGTATTCAACACATTCACTTCTGGTATTAAACACATTTGCCATACATTTACCATCTGAAAAAATATATTAATTTAAAGAGAAGGTATTTATATGACAACATTTCTGTAAAAAATCCTTAAATGAGAAATGAATCTATTGTTATTTTATTTGTCATGGAAGTACTGACATGTAAATACTTCCTGTTTTAAAAAGGCTGTACTGTGATTTGCACTGGTTTATTAAAAGGCTGTTTTGGTTCCTTTAAAGGAGAACTTCAGGAAATAAATCACTATTTAACCACTTGTTGCCCAGGGCAATTCTGACATTTCCCAAATACATGTTAAATTCAGAATTTTTTTGCTACAAGATTATTTCGAATCTCCAAACAATATATATTCTCTGAAAGCAGACAACCTGGAGAATAAAATGTTAGTTGCTGCAATTTTTTTTATGTTGCATTATATTTGTGTGATATTTACAATATTTTGTGCAGCTGTTTATCACATGCAAAAGCAATATAATACCCATTTTTTGTAAAATATAAGATTAGGCTATACCGAGTAAAACTATGGTACCTGAAACTATGTATAGGCAACATATTAAAAGATACCTCACACATGTGGTGCAATTAACATTTACATATGTGTGCTGGACCTACGGGCGTGTTCACATTTGGGCATGCACATGGGGAGATGGGGCGCTTTAATTCTTATATTTTATTGTTGACTTTATTACATTTTTTTGATACCTTTTTAAAACTAAACTTTATTAATATGAAAAGGGATGAACAAGATCCCTTGTGATAGCCTAGGCAGTGATAGGTCCAATTTATTGAGAGATCTGGGGTCTATTAGACTCACGATCTCTTCCCTGCCCTCAGATCAGACAGCAAACAGATCAGACAGCAAACAAGGAACCAAAACCAGAAGTGACGGAATCTTCTTCGCTTATGGTTTCATTGCATTTGAAAACATTTGGGCCAGGCAGGAGGGGGTTTTATACCACTTATCTCCTTTCTACTTTACAGTTTTAGTGATCACTGGGCTATATTCCGGCACTCTGGCAGGAGATATTTGGATGTTTTTTTACATCCCACCCCCTACCCTCTTGTAAATTTACAGAAGGCTTTGTATCTTGTGAATGGGTTCACATATTACAAAGCCTTTTGTGATTGACCAAAAGAAGAGAAGGGGCTGGGAGAGCACCTGCAGTCAAATCTGCAGCTGCACTATCTGAAATCCAAAGGCCAAGCTTTGGAGTGCTAGAAGTATAGCAATAACTGTACTCCCAATGCTACCTAGA